TAGACTACGAAACATAGCGTAGGTTGCGGTGTAAGCGGGGGGAGGGGCAGTGCAGGCAGCAGCCATGCGGGGCTGTAAGTTGCTTTAGTGTAGCCAAGGGGGAGGAGGGTGGCTGTAATGGACAGGAGGAGCACTGACCAGCACCCGGTGACTAAGGGGTTAAACTCAGGTAGCTTGCAAGGGTGTTGGCAAGGGAGCCAGAAGAACCAATCAAGATCATTCAAATTTTAGAACTTTATATATAGATACCTTGCCCACTTTCTTTGGGTATGTCTAGACTACATGGCTCCATCGATGGAGCCATGTAGTCTAGACATACCCAAAGAAAGTGGGCAAGGTATCTATATATAAAGTTCTAAAATTTGAATTATCTTGATTGGTTCTTCTGGCTCCCTTGCCAACACCCTTGCAAGCTACCTGAGTTTAACCCCTTAGTCACCGGGTGCTGGTCAGTGCTCCTCCTGTCCATTACAGCCACCCTCCTCCCCCTTGGCTACACTAAAGCAACTTACAGCCCCGCATGGCTGCTGCCTGCACTGCCCCTCCCCCCGCTTACACCGCAACCTACGCTATGTTTCGTAGTCTATGTCCAGTTACTCAGAGTCCTCATGAAACTCAGGAGCTGAGAGCAATTCCTCACTGCCTGGCTCATAGGTTGTCACCAGACTGAGCCCCACCTCATTATCTTTTTCCATCTCTTCATTGATAACTTTTGCCTCTGGGTTAACTCCTGTTTCTGACTCTGTGCTATGGAAAGTATCCACACTCTCCTTGGCTACGTCTACACTGGCCCCTTTTCCGGAAGGGGCATGTAAATTTCACCAGTCGTCGTAGGGAAATCCGCGGGGGATTTAAATATCCCCCGCGGCATTTAAATAAAAATGTCCCTCTCTTTTTTCCGGCTTTGAATAAGTAGGAATAAGACCAAATAAAGCCTTTTCCGAAAGATCCCTTATCCCTCTTAAAATAAGGGATAAGAGATCTTTCGGAAAAGGCTTTATTTTCCGCAAGATCCGCGTCTAGACTGGCACTTTTCTCCAGCAAAGCTCCGTGCCGAAAAAAAGCGGCAGCCATTTTTATGCTAATGAAGCGGGGGAGATTTAAATCCCCGCTTCATTAGCAATTGCGATATGTCTAATTTGCATCCCTTTTACGAAAAAGAGATGCAATCTAGACGTAGCCATGTAGTTTAGATGTGCCCTTTGTGTGGGAGAGTTAAACCAGGAGTTGAGACACACGGAATGATTTAAACCCAGGCAGGACTACCATGCCTCCAAGGAATTTGGGACATGGAAGGGGACTGAACCAAGAGATTATGAGTAAGTAAAGGAAAAAAGTGAATCTAGTTATGATCTGCATATTTTACTTATTTTGTTGCTTGGTTTGAACTGCTCTGTGTGAATCTATGCCTCCCCTCCCCCATTTACCAGATAGAATTGTGTCCAGAGACTTTTCTGTGTGTTTTAATGTTTTCCTTAGTTGCTCTGTAACATCTAGCAGCCAAGCATGCTTTATCAAGTTTATCTTGTTTTGTAATAAAAAATCACTTTTTTAAGGTGATGATTTGATTCTTGTGTCCTGGAAAGTGTCCTGGAAGGTCTGACTGTATGTATTTGCATGCCTCAGAGTGAGAGGTCAGCTACCAGAGGCTGCAGCTTGTTTTTCTCTTCCCTTTTTTCAATCTCTTTTATGGCAAAAGAGCTTGGGGCACCCCTGGGGGTGGGTTCAAGTGTTCACCCCTTGGTTTTTTAGGGATAAAAATCACTCAATGGTAGCAGTGAAACCCCAAAATCTGCGTCTGTAATTCCAGGGGGACATTTTTGTAATCAGTGCCTGTAGAGGCAAGGTTTTTAAGCTCTCTTGCTGGCCCTCACTTTCTGCACTCAGAATGCCAGAGTGGGGAAAAGCCCTGAGAGTGGCATAGGGTAGTAGATTGTTGTGTATTGCAGGGGGGCGAGGGTGGGGCAGGCAGCAGTGCAGTAAGTTGCTACTGCAGCCAGAGGAGCAGGGCAGGGTGAGTAAAGGCTGTATTTCTGTGAGCTGGCTAAGCCCTTCCTGGATCTGTGTTATGTCGAAATGCAGCATCAATGTACACAGAGGGTATGTCTACACTGCATTCCTCTTTTGAGAGAGGAATGCAAATGCAGCCAAGCAAAAATGCAAATAAAGCGCGGATTTGAATTTCCTGCACTTCATTTGCATAATTGTGTCCGGCTGCTATTTCGAAATACCCTATTTCGAGATAAAAAACGCAGTGTAGATGCATTAAATTTGAAAGAAACCCCTTCTTTCGAAATAACCGTTAACTTCATTTTTTTTAGGAGTAAGGGTTATTTCGAAAGAAGAGGTTTCTTTCGAAATAACCGCATCTACACGGCATTTTTTATCCGAAATAGGGTATTTCAAAATAGCAGCTGGACACGATTATGCAAATGACGTGTGAGAAATTCAAATCCACGTTTCATTTGCAATTTTTCTCGGCTGCATTTACATTCCTCTCTCGAAAGTGGAATGCAGTGTGGAACCCAGAGAGTTCAATAGTATCGTGCTTGGAATAGATGTCAAAGCTTTTCCTCATCTACTTATTAATTTTCTCACAGAGATTCCATGGCAGGGCTTTCATTTCCCCAGCATCGTAGTACGACATTCTCTCAAACTAGGGATGTAATAGTGTAGTTGATTAACCAATTAACCAATAAGAAAAAGCTTATAGGTTAATGCTATAGACCAGTGGTCCCCAAGGCGGTGCCCGCGGGCCCCATGCTGCCCGCTGGGGCATTTGTGCGCGCCTGCAGACAACCTGGGCTGGCCCCGCCCTCGGCCGCGGGAGGTGCTGGCCCCAAGCACACGACACGCCCCAGCACCGGGTT